GCCTTTTATGACTGGCTTCTTTCACATGGCATATGCTTAGATGATTCATTCATATTGCAGCATGTATCCATTCATTGTAGCATGTATGAGGGTTCCAGTTTCTCCACATTCCTCACCAGCATTTATTATTTTCTTTTTGATTATAGCCATCCTAGTAGATACGAAGTGCTATCTCATGATTTTGTTATGCATTGCCTTTATAGCTAATGAGGCTGAATGTCTTTTCCTGTGCTTATTAGCTGTTTGTTTTAATTGGAGACATGTATATGTAATTTCATTGCCTATTTTAAATTTGTTGTCTTTTTATTAAGTCATAAGAGTTCTTTTTATATTGTGTTTACTAGATCCTTCTTACATATATGGTTTTCAGAAATTTTCTCCTGTTCTGTGGATCTTTTCACTTTCTTGATAGTATCCTTTGACCAAAGCACTAAAATTTCAAATTTGATGATGCCATTTAATCTATGTTTTCTTCTTATTTGTTCTTTTGGTGTCATAGCTAAGAAACCATTGGCTGATCAGAGGCCATGAAGACTTATGGTAGTGTTTTCTTCTAAGTTCTGTTTTGAAAGTATATGGTAAGAGGTAGAGGTTCATGTTCCTTCTTTCTGCATGTGGATATCCCGTCCCAGTACTGTTTGTTGAAAAGACTATTTTTCCCCATTGAATGATCTTGGTAGCCTTGTTGAAAATTAATTGACTCTATTTCTGGATTCTTAATTCATTTCCATTGATCCTGTATGTATGCATTTGAGTTTTCGTCACTTTGGTTCTCATTGTTTCTCTTGTCAGAAAGTTGTCTTCCTCCCTACTCCTAAATACACAGTCTCAGGGGCCACCTTTTTTTTTTTTTTTTTTTAAATCATCATACAGTGCTGTGGCCCCAGCTTGAAACATTTAAGTCAGAGTGAGGAAATTTCTTTTTCCTCACTGTTTAGAATCAAAGGTTATTATATCATTTAACCCTTGCCTTTATCATTTATTAAGATTCTTTTCTTGGGCTCTCACTGTGCCTTTCTGACCCATCTCTGGGGTCAGGTTTATTTTATATACTTTTGTTAGGTTAATTCTGTGTATCTATGACTGTGACTTCCTGCTTTGGCTCAGGAATTCTTTGTACTATGTCTGTGGACTTTCCATCCCTATCTTCTGCTTCTTCTGTACACATCCTTCAATTCCCAGTTAAACTGGAGGACTCAGCCTCTAAATACACCTTCTTACTGTGTGTCTCAACTTAAAAAAATTTTTTTTTCACGTTTATTTATTTTTACAAGAGAGAAGAGAGGGAGACAGAGCACGAGCTGGGGAGGGGCAGAGAGAGAGGATCCCATGCAGGCATTGCACTGTCAGCATGGGGCCTGACGTGGGGCTCCAACTGAAGAACTGCAATATCATGACCTGAGCCAAAATCAAGTGTCAGGCGCTTAACTGACTGAGCCACCCAGGCACCACAAATGTTGCTGTTCCTTTTGCTTGAGATGCTGACTCCCTCAATTTTAACACCAAAAATCCTTCTCAAAAATCTTTGAGAGAAGAGTCCATTTCACAGTACCATGTTTCCCATAAAACTGTTGCTGGCATTTCACTTCTTCCTCAACACTGGTGGTTAGTGCTTTTTCCTTTGAAACTGTGTGTACTTTTATGTTTTTCTTAAAGCTTGTTTGTTAAAATGCCACATAATTTATGTCCGTGGCCACGATCACATTCTTTTTTTTTCTGGATTGTAAACCACTTGAAAGCAGAGATAGTCTTGTTCAGCTTTGTGTCCCTAGTGGTTGATTTGTTTTAGTGTTAGCAAGTTCTCAATAAATAAGTGAAATTCTACTTATTGTATAAGCCAGTATCTCTTATTTAATATTGTTTAAGGTAAATACCTTTTTCTGCAAGGCTTTTGAGATAGCTTCTTCATGAATAAATAGCTTTTCCTACAATCTCCCCGTAGCGCCTTGTCCACGGGGCTTTTGTAATTCTGATTGTATTGTATTACTCCCTGATTTGTGAGCCCGTTGCATCTAGGTATATTGTCTTAATCTACCTTTAATTGTTTGCTTGTCTGTCTTCCTCCCTCTTTAGAGTTCCATGAGGACATGGGCTGTTTCTTGGGTGCTGTATCACTGGCCCTTAAGTCAGACTTTGATGTATAGTGGGTGCTCATATTTGTTGAATAAATGAATGAATGAATGAGCTCTATTTTTAGTTATCATAAGATAACAGTTTTAATGTTATGTATCCACATCATTGTCATATGTCATTATCTTTCTGTGTCTGTGTCTTAGGTTCAGGAAAGTTTTTTTACTATGAAATTCTTCATTGTGATTATTTCTTTTTTTTTTTATTTTTTTATTTTTTTT